CTGAATTCTTTTCAAAGCATTAATGCATTATAAACCTTCATAACTTGAAATTTTTGGAGGCCTTTGAAAATGAAATTATTTCATTGACACGTCTGCAGGAAAGAGAAAAGCAATAAAAATATGACTTGATGTGTTTTGAAAGGAAGTGAAAGACTTTGGGCAAATGAACCCATGCATCCAAGTATAGCATCCTTTCAACTCATTCAAAAAGCAATTTTGAGGCCCAGATTATCCCACAAAGTACGTATCCCTGTAATTATATCCTTCTCTCTTTTTCCGAACACAAATGCTTGCTTCTCTAAATCAATACCTCCCACACTATATTTTTTTAGCTTGTCCCTATAGAAGTTTTACTTAAAGAGGTTTGACAGTACAGCAGCAGTCAATAACCCCTGCACTATGGACTGGATTTGTGCAACAGACTATAGCCTGTTGTGTGAAAAGTCTGTTATGAAAATCAAATTATTAAAAAGTTACAATTTTTACTTTTTATCATTAATTTAAACCAACAGAAGTCTGTTCTGCGGATTTAATCCATTGCGCAGGAGGGAAAACTGCCTTCAGAGGCGGTCTGCTGTTATGCAAAAATCCGCTGTACAGGGGTTGATTGTCCTTGTACTCTATTTTACTCACTTGTATGCAACAATATTTCCAGATCATTAAATTTCCTCTGACTATATATAAGTCTGTTGATCGAGACACCGCCTGTGTATTTATAGCTTGAGCGTTTCAAATTCCGACTGCGCGCAGAAAGCACTGAATACCAGAGTGCGACATCTAGCTATTTTTTTTATATCTCATTTATTGACGTTAGTACAATTTTAAAGTAGGTAATGCACCTTCATCGCCGGAATAGGCTGCGTCAGCTTTCAAGTGTGACAGCAGCAAACTCGAAGACACAAGGATTATAATTTTTGCGCAGATCACCTGAGCCTTGTGACGCATATCTTTTCTTCACTGCGGGATGTATTGTATAAAATAATCACCTAAAAATGAGCTGCGGATCAACACGTCAAAGAGCACTCCCATAAGCGATTTTTGTTCAAAAGAGCGTACAGTGAGACCCCACATGTGGACACCTTGAACCTGCAGACAATTCAACATAGGGACACTTATTTTCTAATAAAAAATTAATAAAAAAGGCCCAACATGAGGACACTGACTCAACATACGGGCATTTTGTGATAAAATTGCAAATACATTTCAGGCCAAATTACAAGAAACAGCTATTTCCAACCCTAAAATTGATGTAAGAAAAGTTCTTGGTCATTTCTCTGACCAGTTTACCATCCATTTAGCTCATCTAAAAAAATTACCTCCATCATAGAGGGACTTCCTTTTCTCTTTTTCACTTGAATATTATTTTTAGAGAGAATGCCAACATTTCTATGTACTGTACTGTACAGAGGTATCAGTATTCAATTCCCCAAATGTTCATATTGTGTTGAAAACTTGAAATAAATCGATTGGAATCAGTTTAAATTGGAAGACAATTTTTATTTTCAAGGAATTATGGTGAATATTTTGTATATAAAACACCAATTAAAATCTGTATAATGTAAGTCTAAGGGACTGGAGTTAGGGACATTTTGACTTAGGGACACTCTTGATGCACCAATTATGTCCGCATCTCGGGGTCTCAACTTTTCAGATTCACTCCTTAAAGCTTGTTCACGGATTAAATAGCGCCTATACAGTGAGTCTATGAATCACATTAGGGCTGATAAGACATAAATCACTCGTTTATCAGTTTTTGACGCACATCAGAGAATTCGGTAATTGATTTTCGAATGAATATTCATCAGTCAGTCAGTCAGTCGCTGGATCGAAGTGCACTGAATGGAATGATGGCGACGAGAAGCGACGCGGTCAGAAATCGGACGGATATCGCTAAGGGGAAAAATTAAGGTTACTTGCCCAGGTTACATTCTTAACGAAACGGAAATGAGGCCTTTGCGACGGGTTCCCCCACAAATCCAGGGCCTGGCAACTCGACTGAAGCCATTTCATCGAATGCAGGATTTATGAGACCGACAAAAAAATTAAAGGAGACATTAATAGTTGAGGAAGAAATTCTTGGATTTCTTCTGGATAGAAGAATAAAAACACTGCCTGCATAGAAAACATGTAAAACAAGGTCCAGAAATGAATCCCCCATTTATTGGAACCGTCAATAATCAAGGGCACATCATCGCAATTATTTAGGAGAATTGAGAGGGACATTTCGGAGTTCCGACGAATTTTAACCTGTGACATTGTGTTCTGGAAACTTGGAAAATAATTGGGTGGGCGACAGAGGCACTGGGTCAATGCTTCCACATCCTCTCTGCACTTCGTTTCTTTCTTCTTTTTTTGTTTCTTGTCAGCATCTTGAAAATGGTGGCGATTATTAGTCCGAAATCCGTTGCTTAGCGGTCATAAAGGCAACGCAGTTGATTACAAGTGAAGTTTCTCCTCTACAAGATCTTAAAATAATATAAAACCCAAAATCATCATCAGCCGAAGTCAAATATCATTTAAAAAAGAGGAATCAAACATTATTCCCTGAAGTAGTTGATGCTCCATTGGAGAAATTGAAGTTTTTAAATTTTAAGTGACCATAATTTGCAAGAAATGGTCAAAATTTTGAAGATGTAAAATATATGGTGAGATAAAAGAAGCAAGTGTCCTCTATGAATGAATGAATGAACAAACAGAACACTTCATTTGCCGCTTTTCAGCGTTCACAAGGTACTATCAAGATTTCCACATCAAAACCCCCTCCCCACCCAACCCATATCCCCTCAAAGACAATTAATTACTTCAAAGCAGGAAATAAAGCACAAATTGATGACAAAAGTTGGTAGTTGACAAATGACAAAGTGGTAGTTTATGTGTCCTCTATATGCGTTATTGTTCCTGAACTCCATTGTAGCAAACGTTGATTTCTGCTACAGTAAAATCCCGTTGATACAGTAATTTCTGAACACCACAGAAAAATATTGTTACTTAACTGTCTTAAAAATTCTTACTTCTGTGATAAGCTGCGAATTTATTCCACAACTGCAGTTATGTCAAGCATAATGTTGAATATTATCTCTACATTTATTGTTCATAGAGGTACAGTATATGTACTGAGAACATCTTTCCAAAACAAATTTTTGTATTGATAAATATATTACAGGTGGACTCTCTATCTCTTGCTCATCTCTCCAAGAGATTCAAAGAACTAGAAAAAATCATTCTAGAGAGAATTTCATTGTAGAGAACCTATATTACAATAAACACATCTATAGCTAGCCTTAACTAAAATCCTCTGCTTTTGCCCCCATGCTAAAAAAAAGAAGGCTGAGCATGTACATTATGAACCTATTACAGTAAAACTAAAATTTTTGAATTCTGCAATCTGCCAAATGGTTTGTACTCTCAAGATAATTGTACAGTCCAACTCCATTAAAGTGCCAACATCTATGCAGCCTGATTTTTGTGGTGCAATGGGTTTGTGCAGTTTATTGGTGGTAGCATGCACCTTCCCCCAAAATTGGGGAAGATACAAGAATAATAAATGGAAGGTTTAAAAAGAACATAAAATGTTAAGCTTCTTCAGAAAACCATGGCATTTTCTCATGTAACTTCCCAATATTGAATTGAACAGCAAGCTTTATTTTCTGCTTTCCAGCATTCACAAGGTTCAAGCAAGGTTCCCACACATCCAAAACCCATCCCCTCCCCCCCCCCCAAATCCATCCAAACACATCAGATTAGAAAACATAGAAATAAGAAAACAGATAAATGTGTCCCAATATAACTTGACAAATTGGTAGTTTATGGGAAAAAAACCTTGGTGGTCTCCTTATTTCTTGGAAAAGAAAAGGAAAACACCAGGAGTCTCTTCTGAAGTATTGGTGGAGGTTTATGGAGCAAAAAACTAATAAGGACAGAAACCTGTTTTTGAGGCCAAAAACCTTGGCAAATGTCAGTTTGCAGCTTATTTAGGTTTTCCCATTCCTTCAAAATTAGGTCAAATTATTTGGGACAAAATGTTGGTTTATTTGGGGGGAGGGGGGGCAGTTTAATGCGGTTTGACTGTACAGTACTGTAGTTAAAAATAATGTTTTTTATTAAAGAGTCCTGCTCAGAGGCATAATTTTTTGCATGAATGAAGCCAAAGCATTCTTCAAGGGGCAAGAAACAAAGTCTGCTTTATTTAATGTGCACTATTCAAAAAATTGATACAACAAAACTCTGCTGCAAACAGCATTAAAGGACACAATTTTAGTTGAATATAATTTCAAGTTTTTCAGAGCCATTAAAAAAATCTCAGCAGCTTCACAAATGAAAAGAAAGAATAGCAAATAAAATCAACTCAATGGATGTTCATGCAAATAGAAAAGTGACCATATTCTGCATTTTTAGTTTCCTGCTGAATATTTCAATTTTTTGAATGCCCACCACAAACAAGTACAGACTTTTTCTTACAACTTCAAGTAAAAAAAAAAAAAATGCAGGTACAGTACATGTCTTAAACAAAGGCATGAGCTTGATACTCACGTAAATCAGCAAATACTGTGGCAGAATAATTTGGCACATTACCGTACTGTTCTCTGCATACAGGTACATCAAACACCTGTAATACGGAATTTGATTATTTTCAGGACTGCACAGGAATGTTCCAGAATATTTGTCTGAAACAGATTGACGCCATCTTAACAGAAATCACAGTCAGTCAACAGCTAGATCTCACTGGAGTTAGTCAAATTTATGTGTGATCAAATTTTGTGTGATTATTCTTATCTTGGGGTTACAAATGAAATATACTTCATCTTTTTCTTTGGGATCTTGTAAACAAGATCCCCAGCTGAACCCCACATCTGATTCAAATGCTTTATTTAGAATTCTGTGCCCTTTTGTATCAGTTTGGGTACAAATACTGCATTAAAATCATAAATTTCAAATTTAAAAGGGTTATTATGCGGAAACATTTTAAATTGCACGCACAGAATAATAATAATAATAAACCATTTCCTTGCAAAAACACGACAGCCAATTTATTGACTGGAGCCCTCAATCATTCCAACAGTCACAACAAAACGTTCAAATCATTACACAACAAAAAAAAGTGTGATGCACTGAAATTGCAGTATTTTTCCTCACTCAACATATCAAGGACTTTTCTTCAGTACTCTCAGCAGTCGAGGAATGTTCAAAGGACGGCGTGGACGATTTGGTTGCTTTTCTTCGTTTTTTTTGTCACTCAATTTCTTAAAAAAAAAAAGAGTCCAAGTTGTATTTATTTATATTATTTCAGCTTCATCGCCCGTTCGTCAAACGCCGCAATTGCCCGTACGCCATGGAGTTGCGGAACTTCTCGTAATTTCTCGAGTCCCTGATGTCAATTACTGAAAAAAGAAGGAAATCAAACCAAAACGAGATGATTACTTCAACGTTATTATTCACAGTGCGTAAATTTGCAGTGAAAATAATTGGAAATTTGACAGCTAACCTTCAACTTCTGCGTCGAAGCCGGTCGGCATATTTTTACCCGACGCTTCGTCATCGAAAATCCCGAGTCTCACCTCGGATCTCGCCAAGATTATATTTTGTCTCGCTCCGTTGGGCTGAAAACAATCAACACGAGTTGCAAAAAAAAAAGAGAAAAAATTGGAACCGAGAAATTGAAATTCTGCTTACGTCGGGCATTTTTGTGTCGCACCAGCGGGCTTGGAACCCGTTATTTTCTCGCTCCACTTCGATGTAAGCACCTTGGCAATCAATGGAAAACGGGGCACTGATGTTCCTGAAGGTCACCAGGAGGAATAAACTTGGATCTTCAGCCTACATTAAATGGACAAAAATTTAAAAAATTTCAAGCTGAAAACTTCTGCCATAGAAATGATTTTCATTGAGGAAATTATCACAATGAAATGGTGAAATTGTATTCCAAACAGAAAAATTGTTTGACTATAGACAGCTACATGGATAGAAATCAGCAATTCCCTTTTTTTATTCCTTCTTTGTCCATACATAATTGATTTGTGCAAAAATAGATTTATTCACTAGAGCAGTGTTTTTAGTGTCCCTTGTAAATTGTAACATGTATTTGCCATACAATTACACATTGTGAATGCTGAAAAGCGGCAAATAAAGTGTTCTGTTTTTTCATTCATTCATTCATAGACAACTTGAAGTGAGAGAAAATGAAAGAGGAAATAAGGAAGGTAACATAAAATAATTATGCAATAATTATTCTTCTGTGAAAGCAGAACCTTGAGATATTAGATTATCAATATTTACTATATAATATTCTGACTGCACTCTGTCATTGATTTCACAGCCCTGTCACTTGTCCTTCAAACCCAGATATGTCCCACAATTAAGTATAAGTTCCAGGTACTCAAATGTATTTTATTATACAGTGTAACCAATTGCAAGATTTAAACCTCAGTAGCTTCTGCCAAAAATCAGGTATTAGTGCGCTGACTTTTGTTGAGACATCCTGTGTAGGAAATCTCCAAGGTCATGTCCTGTCTTTTAAATTTGTGGTTATGCAAATAAGACTATTTCTATCCAGAAGGAAAGTGTCCAAGTTCTTCTTGATCCACTCCACAGCCTTAAAAGGAGATCTCAAACCTTATTATGTTAAAGAAGGGATTCCTTATTTTGGTAAAAAATGATAACAAATTTACATTTGAAGAAGCAAAAAAGAAAAAAAAATTCCTGCTGAAGTTTAGCGCATGAGAAACAGAGGAAAAGCAAGATTAAAGTTGGAAACAACACATTTTGTAGGTACATTATTTCTTAGTAAAATAAAAAAAGAAAAATTTCCTATCGAGAATTCATTTTCACCATCATTTAAATCAATTACATGGGCTCTCATTTGGAAAACCCATGCAGTATATGACTTTATAACGGTGTCATGAAACAAATTTTGATTTTCTATTTCCAAGTACAATATAAAACAGGATTTTTCCGATATGATATACGAATTCAAATTATTTCTCAATTTGACATTCTGAAATTTTGGACTGTTTCGAGCAATGGCTATTGAGAGTTTCTTTTCCAGTTTTTTTCAAATTTTTTTTTGGGTCAAAATCCTTGGATCCACATCAGGGCTAATGAAAAGACACACCTCTGTGAAATTTAAAATGAATTATTTCTGAAATGGCGTCCTTAACTTCCTTGGATTGAGATTGTACAATTATTTTTATATAGTTGGCATCATTACTCAAAAGTAAAATTAAAATCAGAATGGCTGCAATTTTGATATGAAATTACTTTGATTTGAGGAACCTCTCCCAAATGATGTTTTCAATCAAATAGAATTTCCGTGCAAAAAATTTAATTCACAACAAATTACTTTTCAATTTTCCCATCCCCATGATGTGTTATTTGAGATGCTTAAACATTTGTTGCTGCTTTGAAAAGGAAGCACAAGGTCCCAAAGTCTGTGTTTTAAAAAACTTTCTGCTTTAATTTATATCTAGTATATCGCATATAAATATGTAACCTTAAATTGCCTGCTATCTTAAAAAATGAATTTTTGTGGCCAGTGAAACTACAGTATCTTCATTTTAGCATATACTGTACAGTAGCAGTGGGCAAAATTCCAGCCATTTGACTAACCATACATTTTTGAGCTGGGTCAGAAAAAGTTTAAGCATTGGTCAGTAAAATACTGTGTATAAAAATGATTTGTAAAGCTATTTACATTTTCCTTAAAAAAAAAAAACTTGCAACAAGTGCAGCACAAGACTGAAAAATGATGAACCATCCTTCGCCCATTTTCAGCTTTAAAAAGCGGCAATAAAAAAGGAATCGCGAAAATTTATTGTGAAAATAGTTCAATATTGCTGGGATTATTAGTCCTAACTGTAAGGGATAGGTGTCACTAGCCGCTCCCTTGTACCGTATACACGCAAAACTCCACGCTGGAATTCCGGCGTCGTCCATTTTCAAAACTACAAAAATCAGTCAGTCTCAAATTTTTTCTCGTTGCGGTCAGAGTTCATCAGCATTTTCATCTTGTGTGAATTTCGAAATATAGCTTTTACTTTGTCTTTCTGCTGGAAGCCTTACCAAAGGCTTCCCTGCCGTGTTCCCCAGAGCGGACCGTTTGTTACATTGCTTTAATTAATTTCATTATTTCAGCCGTTTTTCATTTTCTTTGTGTGGCTGCTGGTTGCCCCACACTAATACTCAGTGAATCGGAATAGCGAAGCATCCGTTATATGTGTTACATCATCGTCTGTATGGTTTCACGAGTTCGCAGCATTATGTTTTTTTCTAGCAGTACGTCTCAAAATTTTAGTCAAATCGTGAATTATTTGTGGATGTGCAGTATTTTAAATGAACCTTGATGCTCCAGTCGCAGCTGATGCCCTTTCCGAAACCAGGATGACCAGCGTCCCTTTTTCGCCTGCTGTTTATTCTTCCATCCAAAAATGCATCGACGAAATCTGTCGGCTGCGTTTCAAGAAACCTGAAGACATAAAAATAGATATAGTGAGACCACCACATGTGGATACCTCAAACCTGCGGATGACAATTCAACATAGGGACACTTATTTTCTAAAAAAAAAAATTAATAAAAAAGGCCAGACATGATGACACAGACTCAACATGCGGACATTTTGTGACAAAACTGCAAATACATTTCATGCCAAATTACAAGAAACATATATTTCCAGCCCTAAAATTGATGTATGAAAAGTTCTTGGGCATTTCTCTCACCAATTTACCATCCATTTAGCTAATTTAACCCTTGTGCGGCAAAGTTGGACTATTTTTGCAAAATTTTGTGGCACCTTATCAGAGAGGTTTGGAAAAAAATGATAACAGGTGGTCAAGGGCAAAGTTGGGAAAAATCCCGATGCTTTTTTCTCTGAGGACCAAAAAATTTTGGCACCAAAAAAATTCTCAGTTAGGCTACTGACTTTTTTTGGATTAACCCCAACTTTGCCTCTGCCCACCTGGAAGGGTTTTGGTGATCTTCCCAAAACTGAAAATGCTGGAGGATACAAAAATAATCCAACTCTGTCCCGCTATGGGAAAGAACCCTCTGCTGTCTGATGGTTAAAAAAAGTACCTCCAGCAAAGAGGGACTTCCTTCTCTCCTTTTCACTTGAATGTTATTTTTACGGAGATATGCCAACATTTATATGTACTCTACAGAGGTATCAGAATTCAATTCCCCAAATGTGCATATTGTGTTGAAATATATTGATTGGAATCAGTTTAAATTGGAAGACAATTTTTATTTTTATGGAATTATGGTGAGAATTTTGTACATAAAACACCAATTAAANCAAAGAATTATGGTGAGTATTTTGTACATGAAACACCAATTAAAAATTATATAATGTAAGTCCAGGGGAAAATGAGACTCAACTTAGGGACATTTCAACTTGGGGACACTCTTGATGCATCAATTCCGTCCGCATCTGGGAGTCTCACTGCATTTTCTAATCAACGAGACCAAAATAATAACTAAAATTTGAAACCGACCTGAAGAACTTTTCATGTCCTCGTCTCAATGCCTCAACAGGATCCCTCATCAATAACTCATTGTTCTCATCAACTGCCAGACGCCTCTGTTGTCTGGTTTTCGATTTGCCCGAGATTATCACAACACTGGGGACCTGAGGATTCTGCACATTTCTGAACAAATCCTCAATTTTGACAGTTGTGGCTTTGCTGGTGGTTGAAATGATGGGGCTTGATGATGAAGACTCAAACCCAAGGACCAGTATACCGTCCTTCTTTTTCAGCATTGGATAAGGCGTGACCTTGCTCGGGGCATTCAGGGGTTTCAACTTTTGACTGAATTTCGGAACTGAAATTGCTGCCTCGAATATCACAGGCTCGTTATTGTCTGCTGGACCTGGAGCTGCTGAAAAGCAAGTGAAATATACAGTGGGTCATCCCTTGCTTGAACAAAATATACCCTTACAATAACAACAAAATTTACAGGTTGATGGTGCCCCAAAATTTGACCCTAATCTATTGCTGGGTTAGGATCAAATATGTGAAGCAGTCAAATTGCAAGACAATGCAAGATTCTATGTTATATCTACATCAAATTTGACATTTTGTGTCTCTCTGCACGTCAAATTGCAAGTCAACCTCCCAGCAAATTTGACCATCAAATTTCAAGGTACCGCTTGATTAATAAAAATTCCACCATGGCCAAAAGAGTGAATCATGCAAAGAATTTGTGAAATATTCACAAAGTTTATAAAATTATGAGTTTACAATTTAAAAAAGGCTCCATTTTACTCAAGTTCCATACTTTCCCTTGAGTAAGGTGTACACTTGGGTTTTTTTCTTTAATTTTTTTTTAATTTTATTGCCGAGAAAGATGCTTGTCACATTTTCAATGACTGTAAAATTGCAAGTTTTCAAAAATAAGTGCATACAAATTTTGATTTGGACATGATTTGATCCTGAATTCAACTAATTTTTAGTTTTTTTCCCTTTACACTAGAATTTCCCCAATTTACAATTCCAATCAAAATTGGTCCAATATTAAAAAGAAATAGAATCAGATATGATGCACACCTAAGTTTCTAAAAATATTAAAAATGCATAATGGGGTTCTCATCTATGAAATGCACCCTTTTTCCCCTCTTGAGTTTTAGATAAAATCAGTATGCACATGCTGGTACTTGAGTAAATAAAGTACTGCTTTTACTTAGGTACCAATTCCTGTCTTTGAATAAAATGCGCAAACAGCAAATTTTTCTTTTAAAATTTGGAAAAAAGCAATCCATTATTGGTATATGACATGCACTGATATTTTCATTGACTAAAACTTGAAATATTTGATCACATAAAGAAGGTAAATCTGATGATATTCTGCTGAATATAAATTTTATGCAGTGATTACATATTATTTGAGAAGTCTATCATTGAACATTCAAAGGCTTATAAAAATATGATCTGCACCACTTCCTCTCATTGATTTTTGAAAAAAAAATTAAAGTGGTATTGAAGTAATTTTAGTACTTTTTTTCAAGGCAAAGTTTTCAAATGACAAAAGGAAGGCAAATATGTCGCCTCTTTCAGCCACAAGAAGATGTGAATTTCAGGAAGTTAAGAAAATAGCATTTTCAAGATGAATTCCATTTTACACTAATCCATTTCAGATGGCCCATCAATATCAACATATGTATTATACCTGTTGTAGCGGTAGTAGCACTAGAATCAGCTGTGTTTACTGATTTCATTTCTGTCTCAGCAGGGTCCTTTTCTGTTGCTGGATCAGCTGGCATAACTCCCATAATATCCTTCTCTTCTTGAATCACAGGGTTGACTAAAAGTGGTATTTTTACTTTCTCATCAGGAATCACATCCACTTTCTTGTTGGGATTCTCCAAAAGAATTGCTTGAGAATCTGAAACAATGTCAGCCACAGTTTCCTCCAAGGTGTCTGGCCTGAATTTAGCTTTCACAAATGCTCCTGGAAGGAAGAATGCACCTGTATCTTTTTCCTCAGCAGTTCTTTCCTTGGTAAGATAAAGCTTCTCTTCAAAGTCCTCCTGAATGATTGGTTTCCTGGGTAATTTCAAGGTTGCATGGCTTGAAACTGCTACTGTTGGGACATTTTCTTTGGGATTGTAATTTTCATGATTGTCTTCTGTTGTAAAAAAATGTTTAAATTAGGTTTTAATGACATTATTGATAGGAAAAAACACTAACCTGTGCGTTTTTCAGGCCCATTACTTGGAATCCAATCATAGGTTATTTTTGGCTGTTGGAAGGACGTGTCACTTTTTTCAGCAAAATGACTGGATTCCATCATACTTCCTCTGTCCAACTGAGAACCTTCTTTTCCTTGGACTGGAGTTCCATGATGGGCTGTGGTTGGGTCCAAGGGCTCAGACAACACTGAAACAGGAATCAACTGATTCAATATAACAACATCCAGTTCTGTATTACAGTTAATATTTTATTAGCACAATAAAATTTTAAGGACCCTTCACGTTTTTACTGTAAATAAATTTTTGTACTGTATGACGAAATTTCTTTACAAAATGGAGAGTTTTTCCTCTGACACTCTGTATTTAATTCTTCAACTCCAAGATTCTTTTGGTCACATCAGAACATCATCACTCAAGGAAACAAAAGTTTTTCAGTTTGACACAGCAGAAAATGAAACGATTCCCAACAAAAGCCGCAAAGTTTGTCCATTATTAGAAAAATCTGTAGTCTCTACTTTTTCCATATACCGTATTTACTCAAGTACCATGTGCACCTTCTTTCTCAAATTTCAGAAGAAAAAAAGGGGTGCGCGTCATAAGGGGGTACCAAATTTTCAAGAAGTTTTAGAAAGTTGTTTGTTAATTATACTTGATTATAATGGAAATATTTGTGACAAATGTACCAAGAAAACTTTTTTTTTTACTGAAACATTGGAAAATTGATCAGATTCATGTTCAATTCACATCAAAAGTTAAATTTTTTGTTTTTATTTTCGAAATTTTGGGGTTTTAGAGTCCCTAAAAATGGGGTGCGCATCTTACTCGGGGATACAATTTTAGCCAAATTTTGAACTGAAAAACACTTGTGCGCACCTTACTTGAGGGCGTGGGGTACTCAAGTAAATAAGGTAATATTTATAAGTTACTGTATTCTCTTGTGAGTAAATTTATGTAAATTCTGAGAACAGTATAACTTCAATTATCCACTGGAAAAAGCACCAAACATTCCTTTTTGGAAATTGATTGTGATACAAAAAACGCAAGCGTATAAAGAATTTTTTCTACAGTTCTTATGCCAGGACCTTTGATAGTTTTTTTTTACATATTGACGTTGTTGTAACAGTATTTGCTCTTGAATTAAAATTTCTGTAAAGCTTGTATTATTTACAAAATATTCTATACTCATCAATTCAGACATTCTTTACAAATATTTGGTGAAATGCAAATAACTGTGGTGAGCTAAATTTAGGCTAAAATCTGGAATTGCGCATATACCACAAATATGCTTGCAGATAATTTTATTTCACATGCTGAATTTGAATTTTGCTTCAGAATTATAAATTTTAATAACATTTTAAAAAATCACCTAATTTTTAGGAAAAAGTAGAAGCATCTCGTGCTTATAATAATCAAGTGAATATATCATTTAATAAATATAACTATAATTAATTAGGTAAGAATGGGCTGATTTCTCATGGGGGAATTGATGAAAGCGCCACCTGTTCCTTTTTTTACTGCTTCCCCAAGCGGCATCTTGAAGTGGTTCCTATTGAAATGTTCAGTACTGGAATGGAACATTGTCCCATGGGCCGTGTTCGGGTTCAAGGTTTCTGACACCACTGGAAAAAATAAATAAGAACGAAAACATTAAAAAAAAGACACACAGAGAAGCCATCAAAATTTCCACATCTCTCAGTTTTGTTTTTTCCACGAGAATAAAAACGTTAAAAGAAAATACATTAAATTCTCGAAAAAAGCGTTGCCAACCTGTTCCCCGTTTTCCTCCGGGTCCATGATGTGGTTCCACCGACAACTGATACGACACAGACAAAGACTGTCCTTCGTGCAGCAAATGGTCGTGACCTGACATGGGAAACTGCGACTCGGAGGCGTCGAATGACCCCACAATGACATGAGTGATGCCACCGTCTTGAATTTCTTCAGTCTTGATCACTTTGTTGTGGTGACGATGATGAGTCCCGTCGTGATGAAGAATGGCGTCGTCGTCGTGCTGGTGAGACTGGGCTTGACCCAGCTGCGGAGCTGGAATGACCTGGAACGGATCTGGTCTGGAGGAGGCCGCAACGGGATCCTCCTTATGAGAAATAAAATGTAAAAAAAAAACGAATTGAAAAATTTCAAGCTTTTAATGAATACAATTAAAATGTCAGAAATTAGTTTCAGAATTTTAAAATTTCAGTAATTAGTTTCTGCATTTTGAAAATTTCAGAAATTAGTTTATTTCTAAAAAAAAGGAGCGAAATCTTGCCATAAGATCATCACAAGACCAGAAAAGTACAGTAGCTGTATTATGACAGCAAGCAGAAAATTTTGCCTGTAGGGTAAAGACCTATGAAGAGAAATTCAAATTTTTACAAATGATACAATGGCATACAATATTTTTTTAAAAGTCAGAACAATAAATGCTGTTGAAACAAATTTTGATTTAAAAAAATGAAAGGTCCCCGCAGAAGAACTTGGGAGCAAAAATTTACAAAAACCTTGCTGCAAGGAATACTTTTTTATGCAGAAAAATGGCTTTAAGAGCAGATTCTGGTGGACTTCAGGAAAAACATGGCATGCTGAATAATTTGTCCATAAAAAGAATTTCAAATTCAATTACTGAAAATATTGTTTCATATTAGACCTGTTTATACAGGTTGGCTCATCTCTACAACAACACTCAAGGGACCAGAAAAACTTGAGAGATTATTTTTAGAACCCCTGTATATGAGATGAGGTGGCACATGGAAGTGAACCCTATGGTACCAAAAGAAAATTCAAAAGAAATTATAGATAAGATCATGTTAAAGTGAGTCTACCTGTATTCAGGATCTCATTTTTGGCATAATGATAATTGCTTCAACATATACTCTACAAGCTTTTACTGTTGGGACAGCTGAGAACAAGTTGTTTTCAGAAATTTGTTTCCCAAATGGTACTTGTTGAAGCAACATTTTATCATATATTCAGCTTTTTTGTAACAAGATGTTACTGTCTCAAAAATTTGTTTCAACACAATTCTTGTGGATTATTTTTTGAGAATAAAAAAGTATATTTTACTTTTAGCTGAGACTCATCAGCTTTGCTTGTGTCCCAGATACCAGAGGCAGCATTGTAAGCATTCAGGAAAACAGACCACAGGCTGTGGCCTGGGTTCCTTTGCTGCTGTGTCTTTCCATTTTCTGCTGCTTCTCTGGCAGTCACCTAAAAAAAAAGACAGAAGCAAGCAAAAATTAGCAATTTAGGCATTTGGAGTGGCGCCATGATCAATAAATGCTTCACTTAGCAGTCTTTAATATATTGGGGATGGGTGGGTGTATGCAACATACGTGTAGGATGTCCAGTTTTATTTTGTGGAGTGTGTTCTCTTTTATTTTTGTCATTTGTTTGTGCTTTGTTTCATGCTTTGAAATGATTGAATGTATTTGGGGTAGTTGGGTTGGGTGGGGAGGGGGTTTGGATGCGGGAGTTCTGGTTATTCCTTGTGAATGCTGAAAAGCGGTCAATAAAGTTTTCTGTTCATTCATTCATAGCAGTCTTTTGGCACAACAGACTTGCACTGCCATGTTTTTGTTTTCTTTCTTATTCAAATATCTTGGAAAATATTTAGTACTGTACAGTACAGTATTGACTTCTGTATTGTACCCTGCACTATTTTTACAAAATAAAAAGAGAAAAGAAAGGTATGTGTAAGAAAGATGAGCAAGAATGTTTTATAATTTTTTAAAATTTAGTTGATGGCAATACTGTACTTGATTGACTTGAAATACTTTGACTTTAATGAGGAAAATGTTCATTTTCCTCATTTAAAGCAATACTATTGTACTGTACTTGCAAAATTGAATTCGACTGAATTTAGCTTTTAAAATATCCAAAAAGAAGTACAGTACTGTAGTAGAAAATTATCAAAACAGAAGAATTTTCACATCAAAAGCCGCCCAGAAAAAGTGTCTCCAGAGTAAAAAAAAAAAGAACTTGAAAAACAGTAGGAAAAATACCAAATATGTTTTTCCTCATAATTTTGATTTTTTTCACACCATTTGTTAAACATTGGGTGCATCTAGTTTTTGTTGAGACCTTGACACGAATTTCTTGTTATAAGAAATCCGTTGTAACAGTATTTGACCCATTTCATATACAGTACAGCAGTATATATTGTAAAAGAAAACTCCAAACCAGAACTCACGTCATTTTCAGGCGAAGTTTCTGCTTGCACAACAGGGAAAACAGCGTCAACAGCTCTGTAATTGCTAGACTTTGGCACCGACGTGTCTCCATCATCAGTAGCAAAATCTGCTGCAGTCGCCTTTCGTTTCCTGAGAGCGCCTTTTTCTTGATTTCCCGCAGATGTCGCTCCTAACAAGTCGTAAATAGCCGCGATGACGTGTTCCTCTTTCGGAGAATCGAAAGCGACATCTTTCTCAGACGCATCATCACTCGGTTTGACATTCGAATTTCGGAAAGACGGACTCGGAGGATTGTTTTCGGCAAATTGCGTTCCTTCAGTTGTGGTTGATTCTGATTCCGTGGTCATTGTGCCATTTTCTTCTGCTGCCGTTTCTTCGGTTGTTATGATCGTGGTACTCTCATCATTACGACTATTGACTGATTCGTCGTTTACTGCCTGGCGATGCTTTTCTGGGTCTGATGAAAACGGTTTGGTTGGGAGTTTATTCGTGAATATTTCCTCTTCTTCTAATGAAGGTTGTTTTCTTTGGACAACGACAGCAGATGTCGTTGCCGGTTCGTCGTTCTGAAGTCCATCATAATTCGGAGACGCTGCTGTTATTTTTTCTTCAATTTTTTGAAAATTTTCGGAAGACGTTTCTGGATTCTCTGTGTTTGAGACAATTTCATCCGCTTCGGGTTCCATGTTTTCATCATTCACAGCCAGCAGAGATTGTTCAGGCTTTTCAGTAATGTCTGAATTTGCCAAAGTTGTGAATTCTTCAGATTTTGCTGAAGAAAGTGAGGAAGTTTCCTGAACAGTGTCTGTGCTTGAGAATATTTTGTCTTGTGTTTCAGAGTTGCCATCATTCACAATCAGAACCTTTTCAGGTTTTTCAGTGTTTTCAGCAGCATCAGGTGAAATTGTAACTTTTTCATCTTTTGATGCTGTGCTTGGAAACAAGATGTCTTGAAGTTCCAAATTGTCATCATCATTCAAAACCAAAGAAGATTCAGCTGGTTTTTCAGTTCTTTCAACTTTGGATGCAACTGTAGTTTCTTCAAAAATTGATGGAGAATTTGAAACAATTTTGTCCTTTTCTGACAGCAGCTCATCTGAATTGCCAACTAGAGAAGGTTTAGGTTTTTCAGTGTTTCCAACCTCAGATGCACTTGTAACATCCTCCAGGGTTGCCAAAGGGACATCTTTTGAGGTTTCAGAATCTGAAATGATCTTGTCTTCTTGTGGATTCGACTTTGCATCATTGGGAACATCAGGAGACAGTTTAGGTTTTTCAGTTCCTTCTACCTTAGATGCATCAGTAAATTCTTCAGCTTCAGTGACAGAGGAAGTCTTTTTTGATGCTTCAGTGTTTGAAGAGATCTCACCATTCTGTCCAAAGTTTTCAGGAAGAGAGGGTTCAGGTTTTTCAGTTTTCCCAGTCTCAGCAGCATCATTCTGATTTTGTAAATCTGAAATGGTCTCTTCTTGTAGATCCAAGTTGTCATCATTCACTATGTCAGAAACTTTAGGTGCATCAGTTGTCTGAACAATAGCTGAAGCAGTGACTTCTTCAACTATTGCTGTAGTTGTTGTAGTTTTCAGGTCTGGTTTTTCTTTTTCTGAGAGTATCTCAAATGAAGCTGTTGATTCATGATGAACTTGCAATTTTGTTGGCTCATCAATTTCTTCAAGTGAAACTGGGTTTTCTACCTTAGCATCAGGGCTTTCAGTGGGTGCTTCACTTGAGTCTGTTTTTATAGTAGTTGTGATGGCAGATTCCTCAAGTGATCTGGTGGTTGTAATCAGTTCTTTGAGGTTATCCTCAGATGACCCAGTTCCTTGAGGATGAGAATGCTTCTTTTCTGTGACATCTTCAGGGATAGATGTTGTTGTTTTCAACAAGTGCTCTGTGTTGGTGAAGAGCTCTTCCTCAGTTTCATCATGGCTGATTTCATTTTGGTGGACAGAGTCGACCTGGGACTCAGCAGCAATGGAAGAAGACAGAGTATTGATGGTTGTTGGAGGTTCTTCAGGCTCTTGTTTTCCCGTGGTTGTGGGTGCTGAGTCAGCATTGATTGGAAGTTGTGTAGGGACAACAATAGGATGTGTGAATGGCGCCCAGTAGGATATGTTTCTTTTCTCGCCCCTTTTTACAATCAGTTCTGGTGATTCTTGGCCGCAGACTTCAGCTCTTATTGTGATTTCTGAAACAAAGGCAATTGTGACATTAGTTACATCTTGCTAGAAAAAATAATTAATGGAGAACTGCAGGCAAACCTATTTTGGTTTTTGAAAAAGGAAGAAATTAAAACAGAAATTCATAATTTAAACCAGTGTTCGCCAACCTTTTTGAGCTCATGGACTACCAACTAAAAAAAAAAATTGTGGCCTGGGAAATTTTCAAAAATTGTCTGTGGACTGGCAAATTAAGCTTCATAAATTTTTGCAGACTCAAAACATTTTTGTAGGTAATTAAAAAGTATCCGTTTTTTTGTACAAAAATCAAGTTGAGAACCAATAATGAAACAGCTATGGTCAAATGTCTTCTTGAAAAAATTAGAAAGGTGGGCTTGAAGAAATGTTTCTCAAAATGAAAAATTAAAATCAAATATTTCAGCAGGTGAAAATTGTTCTCAATTGTTAGCAGGAGAAAAGCCTATTTTTACTTTTCATCAGATTATTTCAACTGCCATTGTCTCTCTGAATTTTCCCATAAAGGTAACAGACTTCATCAATATTTTTCATAAATTTATAAGGCCAAAGAAAATTCCCCAAATACTGGAAAAATACTTCTGCCAACTTTAATAGATGAACTCTGTGATAGATGAAAGGTTAAGTCAACCAATGACAAATGGACCTTCTGCCGAAAGGATTTTTGCCCAACAGACTGACTCTGGAGGCAGTTTTTCCTCCCATTTAACAGACAAAATCCGTCTAACAGACTTCTGTTGGTTCAAAATTAATGGCAAAAAGTAAAAATTTCAATTTTTAATAATTGAATGTGCATAACAGACTTTTCACATAACAGACAACTCTGTTGAACAAAGTAAGTCCCTTGTGCAGGGGTCAACTGTACATAAAAATCATGAACAGAGTCCAGTAATGATTTGAGGAATATCCCTGTAAAGCCAAAATCCCTATATATAAAGAGTCCACTTTCAACCACTTGAACAAAACCAACTCAACACCTTTTCCTCACAAAAAAGTATAAGAACTTTTGGAAATCACCCACCTTAGATAAGTCTAATACTGTATATACAGTATATGTATACACATCACCTAAACAATCCAAATTTCCAAATCAAAGTCTCTCTCTCAACACCAGATCGAAATTGCAACCCCAAAAGCAATTCACAATCTGGGTGGTGCACCTCATTTGTCTTTCGGAAACGAGTTCGTGTTTCGACACGAAAGCGTGGAAACCAGTAACAAGCTTCAAGAGAATTGCGTATACAATACAATACAGAAACTTAGACGGATTCCCGTTCAACCAGTTCCCGTTCTTTCCCATAATTGCTTTCTGCCGAATTAAATAATTACCTCGTTCGAAAACCGCAATTGTATGGCAATTTCCCTAGTGTCGCATTGTTTTCGGTGTTTCTTATTATTACCCGGCCTGTTGCGCAAACCAAACACTTTGCAATCTCCTCCACAGAAAAGAAAAAATAAAACCTTAATTACTTTACCTTTATTTACCTTATTTATTAATTAACCGCGGAGCGAATTGACACCTTGACTCAAATCCCAAATGTTAATATATTCTAAATAAGGCAAATAAAAAAAATCTAGATTCCATATAGTCTCGAAAAAGAAAAAAAAACTGGGGCAAATCGTTACGAAAGATTACTTTTAAAGACCTGGACTCGAACATTCAATAGTTGATCGGTACGAGAATAAGAAAACGACCGAGATGCCGAGGTTAGTGCCCTTGATTTAATTCTTCTGTCACGGAATTATTAATCCAAGTTATGCACGGAATAAGAAAAGAATACGAAGAAAAGGAAAAAAAAAAGTTAGGTGACTATAAAAAAAAAGAAACTGGTGGGATTGGAACATGGACAAGTGCACAGTTATAATAACGGGAGCCACGACCTTCTACCCAGAGAGGTAATTAAAAGATCGACATTCTTATCGAAGTCCAAGTTGCAGGAGACCAGAGTAATCCTGAATGCAAGATAAATTATTGTAAAAAAAAAAAATATATATATATATATCCATAGAGAGAAGAGACCAGAATTAAAGTCACACTTTTCAAATTCGAAAGAATTTTTGAGGAATTTCAAGTCGATACAGCGCCATCAAAAACGACGTCGAAGTAATAGATAGTCACTTCAGATTTATACTGAAACACCTCCGAAAATAAATGTAACAGCAGGTACAGTTTATTATGATTGTAATATAATTATTATTGGCAACATTCTTGCATCGATCATTAAAAATATCCAATTGTCCGGCTCAATTCGGACTTTTTTTAAAAATCCGATTCACGTCACTCCCAAAAATTCCAATTGCAATTTTCATTCGGCAATGAAATCCGATTATCGAATCAAAATCAACGACAAAAAATACAGGAATCTCGTTATAAATTAATCGTCGTAATTTTCGCTTCACTCTTCATTTCAAATGAAATCCAAATAATATTATACTCGCATAATTAAAGAACTCTTTTGAAAAAAATATAGTCATTCTTGAATCTTCGGAACCCACGGACACTTGGTGTCCACAAAAAATTATCAAATAAAAAAGATTCGACATAATTGAACCAGTTCGTCAAAAAAATGAGAAACCGTAACAAGAACGGGGCCAACTTGGAGCAATTATGGAACGATGATCGTCGTAATGAAAAAAAAAATCCCCCAAAAATTCCCTCGAAGCACCTGCCTTAAATCTCCCTTGACCCAGTTTGGAAGAAACAGTCATCAAAGTTTTATATTAAAAAAAAACCTCACAGTCAAAGTGTCTTGAATAAAGGTGAAGATTCCAGTTGGGAGTGGGATGATGACCCACTGTATCAAGATCAGACCCAGGATATAACCTGCTCACATGATAGCTATAACAGTGATTATGATGCCTTTCAGGCGATACAGAAAAAACCAGGTTACGTCTATCAAGTTGCCGGAACTTGGATCATTTTTTAGTCACTGAAGACAAGAACGTTTTCACAAAAGAAAAAAAACAAATCTGACAAGAAAAATCTCATTTCCATTATGCAAAAAAAAAACTAACGTACTGTATTTAGGAATCAGCTGAAATTTATACATCAGCAGGTACAATACCAGACCTGGGTCAGAAAATGTGTTCAAGCATGCATCAGTCTTTTGAAGAAAATTTTTCAATGTACAGAGAAATGAACCTGATTTTTACAGAGTATAATACAGTCAAACCCCGATAAGATGCCACCATTATTTGTCCAGAGCAATTTTGGCAGTTTAAAGAGGTTGGCGGTTTATCAAATATTTAATTTTAATGATTTGATCAAAAATACTCTATTTTCCTCCAAAAGTCATAGAGGTACAGGTTATGTAAGAAACTTCAGTAATTTTCCAGAGTATTGATGTGATCAATGGATTACTCTTTCGGAAAATAAATTTTGCTGCGTCAATTTATTCAAATTTTAAGTTTAGGTCAATATAATTTTCAACAAAATGATCATTATTATTATTTTTTGTACAAATACAAGATCCTTGGCAGAAATTATAATTCTACCCCAACGTTGGCATTGTAACAAAGACAAAATTAATTGAAAACAGCACTTTTGTTTCATCACTAATGCTGGCAGATGGCGGTTGGCATCTTATCAAGGTTTTCTATAGAATTTAACGTGGAGGAGATTTGTTTCATTCAAAATTTTGGTGGTTGGCAAGGCTGGCACTTTATTGGAGGGCGTCTTAATGGGTTTTGACTGTATTATGTCATTCCTGTGACACAGTGCCAACTAAAAAAAATCCTTAGAAAATGATCAGATGCTTGCTTCAAGTGCAGTATTACAGGTGGTACCTTTCAATTGGACTCTAATCCACTGCTGAACTATGAATTAGGGTCAAATATGGTCTTGAAATTTGACTGCTTTGCAATTTGACCAAATTGCAAGATGTACTGCTTTGCAATTCAACCATAGTTCAGCAATAGAGTAGGGTCAAATTGGGTCCTTAAATTTGACTGCTTTGCTCTTTGATCCTACTCCATTGCTGAACTACGGTTGAATTGCAAAGCAGTCAAATTGCAAGATACTTTGTGAAATTCAAAAATACCAGTACAAAAAAGCAAAAAAGTTGCCAACGCAGGTCAAATTGCACAGCAAGAGTCAAATTCCAAGTCAACCTCCCTGCAAATTTGACCATAAAATTGCAGGATGCTCAAATTGCAGGAGGACAAATTCCAAGGTACCACCTATATAAAAAGCATTGTACCTAAAGTTAGAGTCTTGTTACTGTACAAGAAAATCATTTGGATTTAAGACACATGTTCATTGCAATAATTTTATGAAAATAATCACATAACTTCTTTACTGCACATGCTTAAAAACAGGCTCAACTAATATTGAGGCACTACTGCAAGCACCATGAAAAAGAATTTGAATTAAACAAGAATTTGTTGCAACACAATTATACCTCTGATTAAAATTATGGCTCCAATTTAAATTTTAAAAATCCATAGGAAATGTTCAAAGTATAGAGTTCCAACAAGAATATTTTCAACATTTTTGCGCAATTCGAAAAAAATAGTATTTGGAATTTTTTGAAATTAAAATTGTACCATATCAATTTGTTACAGAATGTGCATAACAATTGCATTAATATTTTGCCGCTCTATAAATATATGGACGGAATTTTAAATTGGTCAAAATTCTTTCGGCGCTAAGATCTAAGAGGAAAAAGGGATTCGTACCCGAATATAAATTCTGTACAGTACTGAACTGAAAATTCCAAGGACGAGCACACATTTTTGACGAAAAAAAAAGCCAGACGAAAGTGAATCAAAATCGGTGGGAAAACCCGAATTTTTTTTTTTTTTTTTAAGCGAGGGGAAGAAGCCCAGGAATCGCAGCTGTGGGTAATGTGAGAAAAATGCGCGAGAAAACCTTGCCCCTGGGCATAATCTTCCTTCCTGCTTCACAACAAAATACTCGCAGGTCGTCAACCTCATCATCATCTTTGTCTGGAGCCGAAACCAAAGGAAATTCCTTTGTTCACACGCAGCCAAATAAGAAAACAGGAAGAAAAGGAAGAAGAGATGATAAACACGAGGATAAATGCTGCCGCTCTTTGTGCAGAATCCCTCGCGGCATGCATCAAAAGAGAAGTTAACTATCCGGGAAAAATTCACCCGACTCCATATCAAAGATTCCAAACCATGATCAAACCAACTGCAAAAATCTCCATGCGCCCTCTTTAAAGAAAAATGAATTTTCTTTGATTGCCGGCCTTGACACAAGTGCTGTCATCTGTCTTTGACCTTGAAAAAATGAGATTTTCAGCATATAAATATGCGGTACCCTCCTTTGATTTACATTCCTTTTTGCTTTTGGTAATCTGTTGCCTGAAACTATTTAGCAAATAAAAACTGTACAACCAAAGTATAAAATATCTCTATTGTACGTGGTTTGTCTAGAGTTCTATATACAGTGAGGCCCCCACATGCGGACACCTCAACCTGTGGACGATTTGACCTAGGGACACTTATTTTACCATTAAAAAATCACAAAAATGTGCCAACATGAGGACATTGACTCAACATAGGGACATTTTGCAATAAAATTGCAAATAAATTTCAGGCCAGATTACAAGAAACAGATGTTTCCAACCCTAAAATTGATGTAAGAAAAGTTCTTGGACATTTCTCTCCCCAATTTACCATCTATTTAGCTAATTTCAAATAATTACCTCCAGCATAGAGGGGCTTCCTTCTCTCTTTTT